AAAGGTCGAAAACGTAAAGGAGTTTCCAGCGTGTCTGCCTATAAAGCTCTTAACTAAACGGCTGTGTAGGATAGAGTTAACTGTGTTGTAATTTTGTTCCGCCATGGCTTTATCAAGGAAGAAAAATTGCATCGTACAAATCAATGGACAGAAAGCTATGTAGTAATCGTTCAATCAGCCTTTTCCTTCTGAGTGACCGCTAAATACAAGCTCCACGGCATATTTATACTTTCAAGGACACAAAATATTAAAATCATGAAAAGATACTACGTAACTAGAATATTTCAAGATTCGAAAACGAGACATTGTATCATGATTCGATGAAGGGGTTTCTACCGAATCCTAAATTTGGTGCACACGACTCGTAAACAAAAGGGTTTCCGCATGTTCAGCAAACCTATTCGAAAAGAATAGGCAAAGGTTATTCGACTTCGAGAGTCTCTGTATGATTTATGGAGGGCAAGGAAAGCAACCATGGGTTTCGGTAATACTACAGACAGTGCTTTTTCAGAAATGTTATACTAATGTTCCTACGATGGAACTAGAGACTCCGGGGAGATTTTTTCGAGGTAAGAATAATTATTTGACTGATTTTTACTTGAGATCCTGAGATATGTATGTAAGCGATCTCATTTGTAGAAGTGATTATTCTATAATTGAAATGCGTAAAGTAAATCAGTTTTGGCCAATATTGGTTATTTGTTTATATTTTATTTCGTGTTGGAGCCGAACAATTTCCTTCAACATCAAGTAAGCTGTGTACGAGTTTTATACACAGACTCGATTTATGATTTTTCAGTCTCAAGTATTTAGCTGCAAATTTGTTTACTGTGTTCTTCACCAAATCTTTGTTTGTCTTTTTAATAGTGTTTGTGAATGACTATCAGAGTTCGCCATTTAACAATAGCGCGATTCCAAAACAAAAACAAACGACTGCAAAGGATCTCGGATGAAATGGGCCATTAATTAGTTTTCCGAGAGCCACTTGCCTTTCTGAGAACGCCGAAGTCTCTCCTGTTTGATTTGCATAATTTCTATCGAGTCTTTTTCCAAATTTTTTCCCGCCCGGCCCTCTTTCTCGGTCAATGAATACATATTATTTACAATCAAAGGATATGGAAGTCGTTGATTTCGTGTTCCATCAACACTCGACAATGTCTCGGCTTTCCTTTGACACGCGTTAGCAATGTTCTTGAGGATTACGAAACGCTTTACCAATCCATTTTGTTCATAGATGAAATTTTTCTTTCGTAGCTCGAATGTGCTGACAGTTTTAGCTCAGTACTTAGTGACAGTATCCTAATGCTTAATAAGAGGAGAGGGAGATTTACTTCTAGCATAAATTGCGTTCTTGGCTGTTCGTTATTGTAATTGCACTTTTTCCACGAAAATGTTCCTATTTTGGAGAGAGACTTTCGGAAATGGCTTCAGAAAGGTTCAGAAATTCTAAGCTCATTTAAACGCCACGTTTGTGGCCCTAAAAAGTAGAGACCCTATACACGATGTTTGAAAATGGACGTAACTGCTGATACCTGACACAAATTAAATTAAGAAAGAAAAGAATGGAGGAGAGAAGGAAAAGTTTCACTACAGTAAATTGTGTTCTGTATTACTTCTTAAACAGAAGTATTCTTAGAAGCCTTTTCTTAGAAGCCATCAATATCTTTCTTATTTTCATCTTTGATATTCAGTTTACGCAAATATCATTTTTACATCAGATTATGGCACTAGACGCCTCATCTTTAACAAGGAAACTTCATGTTTTCTCCGCAAAATATGTAAAGATTTCTGAGGAAACCACGAGACGCGCCAGGAGGTTGGTCAAAGATTACATTGAAGGCCAGATCATAGCGTACATTACAGAGAATTCCAATATTGAGATACAAAAACTAGAGTATACCGGTAGCTTTTACGAAGGTTTGAAGACTGAAAATGCTGATGAGGCCGACATCATGGTTGTACTGAAAACACCAGGTTCTGGGATCGAGGTTGTCCAATCGCAAGTGCCCGGGTACGTCCATCTTAAAGCAAGAGATGCTCCTATGTTCAGCAAGTATATGAGTCCAAAAGGCTACATTAAAGCCAAGAAGCTTAGAAACAGTTGGTTCCAAAGCTATGTGCGCCGAGCGGTGAATAAGATTGAGCCGCAGCCACCACACTCTGAGGTTCGTCTGGTTGTGCGTAGTCACGGACCAGCAGTCCAGGTCGACATAATCAGGAAAGGATCTGAAGAGATGCTATTATCAGTTGATCTCGTCCCTTGCTTCCAAGTCGAGGATAGCTGGTATGTGCCAAAGCCTTTCAAAGGGAAACGATATTTGTCTCGAAACGAACTTCTTTGGAGAAAGACATTTTCACCAAAGGAGAAGCAAATCCTTGCGTCCATGGACAAAGATCCTAATGGCCAAGGCGGCTGTAGGCACGAGCTACTTCGAATCGTGAAGACCGTAGTGAAGAAGCCGGTGACATCTTTACCTTTAGATTCATACCACTTGAAGGCCGCCTTTATGCACTACAACGATAGGGGAGACCTGGATTGGGTAAGTGAAGACGCATTGGGGAAAAATTTCTTTGGATTTCTTATGGAATTACAGATTCGTATGGAGAGCAGAAATCTTCCCAACTATTGGTTGGATGGTATTAACCTTTTGGATGATTTTAAAGAAGATGTTGTCAAGCAGATGGCTAATCGTTTGAGAAGGATCCTGAACAGCGAAGTAAGGCTGAACAAGATACTTGAATAGCCTTCGGGATTCTGTCATGTCTGTCTTTTTCTTGCTATCACTGCTATCTACCATTCTAGAGAAATTTAACGGGATGGTCATTTTAGGAAAGAGCTTAATATAAACGCAAGAGCAAATCCCTTAGTGGAGATCAAATTTGCTGCTAAAAAAGGAACATTCGAAGTGTCAGGGAGAAACTTGCTCTATTAAGATGTATAGTGATTTTTGACCAAGCTTGCTTCTATTCACATTTGAGAGAAAGCATTGTAATGTTTTTGCTGTAAATGTGTATTGTTTTTGTTTTGTTTTTTTTGTTTTTTGGTTTTTTTTT